TCAGATTTTTCTATATCTGCTGGTTTACTAAGTCCAAAATCAGCAATTTGAGCTCTTTGAGGAATTATTAATATATTTCCAGGGTGAAAGTCACGATGCACAAATTTCCTACGGTGAATTATCTCCAACCCTTGAGCAATTTGAATTAAATATAGCAATTTGTTATGCCAATTCAAGTATTTAGAATTCATATATTTACGCAGATCGCCATCTTTTGCATAAGTCATCACGATAGAATATTTATTTGTAGCTGGGTTTTTAGTTATTCCATAATAGATTAATTCAATAGTGCACTTTAGAGCAGTCAGAATCTAATTTTGAAAAAGTTAATTAGATTGAAAAGCAAAAAAGCAAATATCCTTGCACTTAAGATATTCAGTTACCTCGTTTATAAACTCGAATGTAATTTGCTTTGAATTGTGTAATGATTTCAACACAACTTCGCATTCGCCACGTCGTTTAAATCTATTCTCTACATGATCCCATTCAAACATTTGTCCGTCCAACCAGGTTGCTTTATAAATTGATCCAAAACCTCCTTCCGCAAGATATTCAACATTGGTAAATCTTTCAAAAGGGATCCATTCAAATATATTATTGTCATTAATATTATTGCATTCATTTATTAGACTGTCGATATCTTGATTTCCACTAGACCATTCAACATAAGTTTGTTTGTGATATAGATAACATTCAGAACAGTCCTCATGTTTTTGACAACGAGTACATTCACTACAATCATGAGGATCGTGAACTGAACAGTAGTAATCAGCTCGACACCAATAACATTCCTTGCGATTATGAGTATTCGAAGCCATCTTTGAGTTTATTAGCGTTTTATTTAAAAAACGATTATTTATTTATGTGAGAAAGTCGTCGTTTGTGTTTGTATCGATTTATGCATGAAAACTGACACAGGAATACTACGTACGCCCAACAACATGCATTAACATTAAACGATGAGACAGTACGCATAAAAAAGAAGGCTCTTATAACTTCTATGGTTGTACATGTAATATGTCATTTAGTGATTATATTATTATCGTTATTAATGAGTATGGCAGTGTTTTATTTAAAAAACGATGATTTATATGTGGTGTGGAAGTCGTCGTTCACTTGTGTTTGTAAAACGATTTATGCATGAAAAATAATACGGGGAACACGACGTACGCCCACAATGAAGAGGAGTAAAAAAATAAGATTTCAGTCGACATCAATTAATACCCATTACGTACCCACCCTCTATATGGATTCTATATATTACCTATTTCGTAGTTAACGTTAAGCAGAAACGCCATGTTTTTCAAATTAATGAGTACTGTTACACTGGTAACACTAAATCTTTTTTTTAGAAACGCATTGTTTTTTCTTTTTCCCTTTTTATTTCTTTACGTATTTATGTCAACAATACACCGCAAATTCCACCGTAATTTCCACTGTAAATTACATCATAAATATGAAATCAAAAATGTATATAATGAGAGTGAGAAAGAGCAATTAAAAAGAGAGAATTGGCAATAAAGCAATAAAAACTTTAAAAAATAATTACTTATTTGCGTACAATAAGTTCTTATAGTGCCTTTTTCATTTTCCATCCTAATAATCCATTGTTGTAAAGAGGGTTTACCAGAAAAAGTGAGACGATTATGATTTGAAGGGTTTGCCACTTTGATCCAGAAAAAGTGTTTTGACAACCGTAACGACTACGATTTAAAGGGTTTACGCTTTTGATCCAGAAAAGGTGAATGTATTATTGACGTTTGTGAACACGTGAAGGAAATCTAACCGACATTAACAACAATATCCGAAGATATTCGCACAGGATTTTAGAAAAACTAATAAATAAAATAATTCGTTTCTCCCACCCAAGTTACAGATTATCAGCTAATTCCTATAATCGATCCCTAACCTGTAACAGTACGTATTCAGTTTCATCTTATACTGAATGAACCTATCAGTTGGTATAATTGAGGAACATTATTTGATATCGTAGGTCGTACTCCGTTCATTTTAAACTCGGATGTAATTTGATTTGAATTATGTAATGATTTCAACACAACTTCTTTGTGATCCCAATACCCTGGTTTCAATGGACCATCCACTCCAGCATATTGTTTTTTTTTGTTTTTGAATTTAATTAACTTTTTCAAAATTAGATCCAGACTGCTCTAAAGTGCACTTATCACAGTGTAATAAATTATTATGGAATAACTACGAATGAATACTCGATAGTGATGACTTATGCAGAAGATGGCGATCTACGCAAATACATGTATATGAACTCCAACTACGAAGCATTGACTTGGAAACAAAAAATTAAATCATTTAATTGATATTACAAATGGGTTGTATAAAATTCACAGAAGAATTTGTGCATCGTGACTTTCACCCTGGAAATATATTAATAAAGACTTATCCTCAAATTGCTGATTTTGGACTTACCAAACCAGCAGATGTAGAAAAAACTGATCAAAAAATTTTCGGAGTACTTCCTTATATGAGTCCAGAGGTACTAAATGGAAAGTCATACACTAAAGCTGCAGATATTTATAGTTTTGGAATGATAGCGTACGAGATTGCTACAGGTGAACGACCATTTGGTGAACGAAGTCACGATATACATCTTGCATGCGACATTTATAAAGGAGTACGACCTAAGATACCAAATATAGTTCCTAAATTATTATTGAAAAATGTTAGGATCCTATTCCAAAAAGCAGACCAACTGCTAAGGAACTTGACAAATTTCTCTACTCTATCCAACGTGGATATGCGACAGAGTTGAATAATTTACATTTTCAGTACTACAGCTCTTTAGAATCTCCTAAGACACATGAAGAAATTATTGACTGTCACAGAATAGAAAAGCAGAAATTAGTTAAACTTGATAAGGAGATGAAATTGCAAAAAAAGCATTCCTATGAATACGAGCAAAAAACAACAAATCCACTCACACGCAGTTTACACCAGTCGAGTCTTTACCACAAAACTAATTTCAATTCCAACTGAGACAGGTACTTTCTATTGAGATATAAACCATATTAGCATTAAAATTCATATCAAATGTATAGTAATGTCAAATGTCAGTTTGTTTGTACAAAACGAAGGTAGAATTGCATTTATTATTTTTTTTCATTAATTTCTTTTATTCATTATTTTTTCTTAGTGTGCAAACAGATTTCGATTTTAGTATATCACATGAAATCAAAGAGAATGAAAAGGAATCGAATGACGTGCAAGAAAAACTACAGACTCATAATGGAACACTTCCAACAAAATAAAATAATATACTTTATTGAATTAAATTGACAATATCTTTTTATTAACTGTGTCTCGAGTTAAAGCACAACAATCAAAAACAGTTTTACTTTTTATTAAAAGTTACTTTACTTTGGATTTTTTATACTATAGTGTTCTGACTAAGTTAAAGATTGTTTTAATCGGCAACTTTTGACACGACACAAAATTGAGGGCAAAGACCAAATGATTTACTACAAGAGGGGTTCTCTGATAGTTCTAAAATCTCCTGCAGCAATTTGTACGCAAATTGACTATTTAAGGTTGGGGTTTCAGAAATAACGTACTCTTCTTAAAGGAAATTAATAAAGAAAATAAAATCTTATTATTCGGTGTTAACCAAATAATCTAAATAATACAACAGGACTTATTGGCACGGCCTGGCCTGGTCAGAGAAAATCTCAAGATTTGACGATGATCAAAATAATAAAATAATAGTGTATTCACGAGTAATATTATCACTACAAGTAAGAACTTTGTTATTTTATTTGATCAAAAGCATTTTTTTGCATTTTGCCTTAGTTCTTTTCTACTGAAAAAGAACATCTTTTTATATAAAATTGATGATTATGCTAATTGCATGATTTAGGTTCTTTTTTTTAAATATCAAATCAATATAAAGAATCTTGTACAAGTTCAATTTAATTTCGAATTTCATAAAGGGGTATATATGTAAATGTCAAACTAATATCAAATTAACATGTTTAATGTTTAAATATTTGTAATGGAATAATTATATTAATAATAATAATATGGATAGTCATATGAAAATTATGAATAAAGTTATGAAATTATTGTTGCCACGGTAACAATAGTTTATTCGTTTAATTGCTATGGTGCATAAAATGTAAAGTCATCAAACGTTTGTATTTTATAAAATGAATAAACTTCTTTACTAAGAAGTAAAAGTAAATACAAAATTTAATTCGTGAATATGCTCAGAAAAGGCCTATTCTATCATATTCACGGATTAAATTTTGTATTTACTTTTACTTCTTAGTAAAGAAGTTTATTCATTTTATAAAATACAAACGTTTGATGACTTTACATTTTATGCACCATATCGATATGTTGCTTAATTAATAAAAAGGCCTGATCACGTGCTGATGGTGACACAAACCAATGAAAATGCGTAAATTTTTGATCAGCCAGGCAAAACAAATCCGACGCAAGAAAATGAAAAAAGTAAAAAATACGGGAAACAGATGCCTAAATACAGCTTGGTACATTAAAAAGAGTCAGTGAGACAATTATACATATAATCTTGACTCAAGCTCTAGCCCTAACCATAATCCTAACCTTTAAATTAACCTTTAACAATAACCTCTATTACCGTAGAATTTTTCCGGACATACACAAATATCACATGATCCGACCCTTTTTTTTTGCCGTGGCTAGGAAAAATCATTACTACAAACATTTATTTATAGTGGAAGACACAAAAGATATTAGGAAACTATGTAGTTCGTTTGCGAAAGCGATCCATCATTATTGCGATGCTCCCTATTCATTAAGACTGATACTCGAAAGGAAGTATGAAGTACTTGCATAGTAATAATATACTCTATACGTCGTCGAGATGCCATCATTTAAAACAAACTGTGCTATCGTTATAAATGCATGTCATCTAGCTAGGACTCCGAAAAGCTCGGCTCGTTGGCTCGCATACATATGATTTAATCAATAGGGTTTAAACCCATATATTAAATTTCATATAAAATTTTGGCTCGAGGACTCGTATCTCGGCTCTTTAGGAGCCTTACATCTAGCCAAACATTATAAGCGTAATGACCTATATATTTAGAAAAATTTATCGGCAAAATGACCGTTCATACTTTATTTGCTCAAAAAAATTTTTATAAACTTAAATAATGATAATTTTTCCTTTACCATTCTTTCGATTCACAAGAAACCAAATTGTTATTAAATTAAAATCGTAACAACTTTAGTGAACTGTTGCAACTCGTCGCAACTAGTTGCAACTCTGTCGTAACTCTCTGATCGGCTGTCGCAAGACGCGACGCCATCTTTAAATTTGATAATAACCATTGTTAACACCTAAGGCCATTTACAGTACTTGAAGTAATTTTCAAAATCATCAAACATTAGTGTAATCGTAACACCATAGTGAACAGAACAAAAGCAAATGTAATATTCTAAACTTTGGAACGAAAAACCACAAAAAGTCAAAGATTACTACAAACGACAAGCCAAAAAGATAATGTAAATACATGTACATGTACAATATTACGATAACGATAGTCCCTAAATACAGTCTTTACCGTTACCGTTACTGTGATTGTTACCATTAATCTCGTAAATCCTCAACATAAACTCATAATTCCGTAATTCCCGTTCTTAGATACCTCTTTATAAGCAATTTCAAAAGCTTAAAAACGTCCTGCATCTTATTTAATAATTCCTTTTTCACGGAATTCTAAAAAAAAAAAAAAAGGTGATTTGTTCAAGACGAACAGAAAATTATCTGTTTTCTGATGTGTCTACGTAACCTGGAAAAAAGAATCCGATTATACTTATCGTTATGTTGATTTACATAAACTCAACTCTTAGTAATGGAAGAAAAAACGTTAAAGGTTTTAGGGAAACAGGAAATAAAATAGTAGACACGTTAATTTACTACCCACCCAAATTTTTTATAATAGTTTTCTTTTTATTTACTAATTAACTTTGTGCGTGGAATAGGACCCCGGTATCTTAGGCAGTGCTTTAATACGAGAGCGAGAAAAATTTCAAAATATTTTCTATGAATGTTGGTTCGATTATAATAACGCTATGGTACATAATTCATGCATAGCTCCAAACAGGCAATACATGTATTCTGGTTTTCGAGCAGGAATGAGCTTAGCCGTCATTAACGATAACGATAATGAATAGGAGATGAAAAGATATTTAAGAAATGGTATTTTTTCTAGACAGAAGTTATTTGAATATATCTTTTATGATATTTCAACTTTCTGATTTTGAAATATATAATTATTCCTTCTATCTATATATACATGTTAAGCTCATAAATAATTTTGAAGATTCTTAAAATAACTTGAGCATATATACGTATATCTTGTTGTTGAGTTACTATCGTTGAACTATCACTAACCATCATTATAAGTGTTTCTATTGTTTGTATCGAAAGTATCCGGAAATATCAAAGCAGACGAGGAAACAGGACAAGAGTCGGGTTCATTTTCTTCAGATTCATCATTATTCAGTTCTAAATCATTATTGTGGCTCCAATTATTTCTGAAATAAAGCTCACCTGATATCCTTGATGACGGTAATGCAATTGTAGGTGGTACGCGTGGTAATGACATTGCTAGTGCTAGTATATCATTATTGTCATTGTCATTGTCATTGTTTTTGTTCTGGTATTCTCTATTGAAATCTACCTTTTCGTCACTCTTGTTAATATCTGGTATATTAAAGAATTCATGTGTTGCATTTGTTTGTTGAGGTAGTTGTGCATTTATAGTTGAATTTTCGTTATTGTGTGAAGCCGAAGCTTCCTTCTCTGGTGCTCCAACGCATTTTATAGTTATTTTATATTTTATCCGTTCACATAAAGTTGGTTCCCACATTGATTGTCGTAGTTTCGTCATTTTAGGATGCACGTCGTTTTGGTCTTCGTGTTGTTCAATATAAATATTTGGTGGGTTACTTTGCACCGTGGTCATTGTTGACAGTTCAATTTCAATTTCCGAATTTTTGTTTCTACGCGCACGATGTGGATACCTTGATTCATATACATCTACATATTCTTCCCATAAATATTTTCTTAACGCGAAGCGTCCACGTGACAGCGAAGCATCACGCGCGAAAACAATAGCATTCAATAACCCTATATACATTAACTGAAGACTATTAGCCTGCATAAATAAATAATAATTACTTGAAATTGAGAGATAGTAATAATAACCTTGGATAGCACATCCAATAAAACTAATAAACAACAGCACGTAACACATCCGTTGCTGCGAAAACGCAAGTGTCTGCACCAAAAGCTTTGGTGTCTGTGTAATTAGCGGAACGGCCGGATACAGAGTCATTTTACGCGCCATTAACGAGATCAAATTTTCCGCTTTCGGTCTGTTGTTTTTGAATTCTTTCAGTGATGGAGTTGTGAGTGGTATTGAGTCGATAGACGTGGATTTCGATGAGACATTTGCTTTGCTTTTTCGAAGCTTGATTGCTACAGCGATCAATACTCCCATGCAATATACAACTGATAGTTCTATCCATATGGATAGCGTGGCCCATTGCCAGATTATATCGGTTAATCGTCCAGAATTACGATAATAACAGGATCTTTTAATGTCATTAACAGTTATTAGAATAATTTATTATTAGAAAAATTAATTTCATTACTTACTTTACGGGATCAGCCCATTCATACATATGATCTATTAATGGTAAGAGCGATAATAAAGATGCGAAAGCTAATGCTCCACCAATATAATATCTTTCTAAATTTCTTTTTCCTTTATACCCGTGTATAATTATAACTTGAAGATTCTGATTATAAACATAACCATTATTATTATAATATAATTCAAATTCTAAGTACATGGTGAAGAAGAAATTGGAAGATACTTACGATTGCAATACAATTCGAAAAGAATACGGAGAGTAAAGCAGAAAACACATATGCCCAAACCTTTTCCCATAATCTTAATTAGTAATTTGCATAGTGATAAGTGATAAGACGAATGATAAAAATAAAACACTCACAGTGAATCTACAAAAAACCCCCGAATGTCTTACGCTCAAGTTCATAATTTGAGCCAGAGAATAAAAAAGATCTGCACTGCTTATCAACACTCCCAGTCGAAAAGCGATCCGACCAGTCACTATCGGATAATATCTTTTCATTAGAAAATATATAACGATCACTAGTATACTGGCGATAATTGAAAATATCAGTGTCAAGAGAGTCACGAAAGCTATCGTAGCATATTGTTCATCGGTTATTGATATTATTGTTGATATTGTTGATGAAGTGTCATTTTCTTTTAAAAAATTTGTTGGAGTGGTGTCTATTGTACCTATTGATTCTATATACGAATGCATTTATGAAGATCTCGCGTGTATGTACTAGTTTTTCATAAAGAGAGTGAGAGTAGATAGCGATAGATATAATACTCGTCAAAAACGGACTAATTTCATAAATAGATTAGCGACAATAAAAAAAACAAATACCAACGCTTTGGCTGTACTTATAGCATCTTTGCTTGCATAATTTTTCAAGTTTTGCATGCATTCATACACACACAGGCGCACACTAGAAAACATGTATGCAGTGCAGGCGCAAATATTTCATTTTCAATGTGCATTCATGCTTCTATTGGAAATCATTATTCTCCGACTTGATTATTGGCTCAAGATATTGAATTGGAGTAAACAAATACGTAGACACTGCATGAATAGTCTAAAGATCAAACCGAAACAAATACAATAGTGAAACATACTTGATCTAGCGCAATTTTAAAACAAGATTTACAGATTTTTGTTGCATGCGTGGCACAAATTAATAATTCTATCCTTGGGAATTTTTCTGGTTTTCTCGAACTGTCAAGTTTAGATCGTTCTCCTCCTTTAAAATAAAATAATGGAATTGGTTAATTTTTATTCGGAGATTGTTATTAGGATCAAATTAAAGTACAGTATATGTGGAATGAATAACTAGATGTACTATTAGTCCCGTCTTTTTTACTGTTTCGCAACAAATGAATCAAGTTTTTTTTTTATTTATGGATACAGTAAATAGCTGGTGAAGCAGAAAAACAAATACGGATTACCGTATGAATCGCCTGACCTCTGGTGCTTATTTAGGAGTAGGTCTTCATTACTTAAACTAGTTCTAGTAGTTCTTTTTGTACTACATTTTTCTTTGTGTATTAAATCAGGGGGTTTCGCGACACGGGAAAAGTGATACGTTCTTTTACGTAATGTAAGTACAATAATAAAATATTCTTATATTCATGGAATTTAATTTTAATTTTGGAGGTGGTTCTTATTCCGGGAGAATACGGTACTTCATTGAAATTTGATTCACATTAGATTCACACGCAATAAACAAAAAAGATCATTTGGAATGAGAAAATTAAAATTAAAAAATCGAACTGCAAAGTTTTTCTCTATCAGCACGTGGGCAATAAACAAGTTTATTTGAAATTAGCGTTAGATAATTATAGGCAATACAACATATGTCACGTGAGAGTTTTTATCTGTTATGTAAATAAATATATAATGCAAAAATCTTCTGTTCTGTCTATTCAAAGTTTATATAAACATAGTATGATAAGCAGTCGTCATTCCATATAATCACTCCCCTCATATAGTCACTTTTTCTCAGTTCCGGCTAGTATGAAACATAGCAATCATACGTACTCTGGTGATTATACAATCTACCATAATAATTCCCTGGAGTACTAGAGTTATAAGATTTTATAATTCCAGTACAAACACCAACATAACTAGAGTTATAAAACCGTCAACACTGCCACTGGAATATGATAAATGGATAGCATTTTTCTTGGCTAAATTTGAAATAGAATCAATAGTTTATATTCGATTCGGTCCAAAATATTTTGATTTGCAAATAATATATTTTTCGACTAAAATATTTAGATAGCTTATTATATTTATATCCAATTGTTATTATTCTTTTGAATACCTGTCATTATTAATGAAAATCAGGCAACAACTATAAGAACGTAATATTAAAACTTCAACAAGCACGCAAGAAATCTCTTCTATTTGAACTATTTATTGTAGATAATCAAAGATTAATTCTTTGTTGCTATATAATCTTGCTTCGATGTATGCAAAGCATTTTTAAAAGTACATAAGTTGCCGGATCTAGTGTTTTGGACGAAACTGTTTTTCAAAATCCGAAACGTGAACTCACCCTATACGTAACCCTAATTTGGAAAATTGAGCGGAACCGAATCATTAGCCGAATTGCATTTTGCTGATATTAATGACAACACCAATAAAGAAAGAACTAATAACGATAATTACTGAAGAATGCACAATTGAACGCCAAACATTTTACTGAATATGGCAAGCTTCCATAAATGGTAAAATTCATCCATAATAATAGAACAATTTTTAGCGTTAAGCATACTGTATTCAAATCAGATAAGCAATCACAAAATTTTAGATTATCTATGCTAAGAAACTTGTTAGCAAAGAAAATGTGTAGATCACGCGATTTACGATCATCAACACTGCGAATGTTCATTATAGCCAATCAAATTTACTACAGCAAAATCTCGAAAATAAGTATGCACATATGCCAACATTTGAACCAACAAATAATCAAATCTGATTTTCAAGAAGAAACAATCTTAATTAGTATAAAATATAAATGTGATTTATATTTAAAAATGAATAAAAATATCTGTATCAGTTGGAATTGAGATTAATTTTGAAATAAAGATTCAACTGGTTGTAAATTGTATTTGAGTGATTTGTTGTTTTTGTTTATATTTGTAGGAATTATTAAATTTTTGTCTTTTCAGTTAAAAAAGATACTCAAAAATTTCTTCATATATTTTAGGAACTTCTGAAGAACTATAGTACTAAAAATGCAAGTATTTAATTTTCACTCATCATGAATATAATTAATAATTCAAAAGTTTAATCTGTTTTCTGGAATAGGATTCCAATATAAATTTACAACATTCAAGAACATTATTTGATATTTTAATCTTTTGTATTCAAAACAAAAAATAATAATAAAATAAAATAAAATTTTCAACAAGAAAAAAATAATAAGAGTAATAATGTTAAAATTTCTGAATAATTTGTTTTTTAATATTGAATTATATAAGTACTAATAATTTCTTCAGAAAAAATATAATATTTTATAAAGAATTAATTTAATATTTTTTATAAAGAAAATATCAAATATATTTTGTTTTTGTTAAAGATTATTATAATTACTAACTATTAATACAATATAAAATAAAAGCAAACAGAATTTTTTATTAGTTCTAGAGATTTTTTATAATAATATTTACTAAAATTAATTTTTATATTTTGTAAAATCAATTAACTAATTAATTATAAAAAATCATGTAATTCTATATATTTAATTAAAAAAATTATTTAATTAGCAAATTACAAAAAAATATACTTTATTTTAATAAAATAAAAAATAATAAAAATTTCAAAATAATTTTAGAGCTTATTAATATAATATAAAATAATAACAAAAAAATCAAATAAAAAATTGAATCTATTAATATAATCAACAAATAAAATACAAAATTAATAATTATAATCAAGTCATAATTTATTTAAAGTTTTAATTTTTTTATTAAATATAATATTTAAATTATAATTAATATAATTTTATAATTTTATTATTATATATATAAACAAAAATAAAATTTAGTAATTTTTTATAAATTTTATATAATAAAAAATCAAATATTTAAACTTTGAAACTTAATTTTTCAATAATTAATATAATTCAATTTTACTAAATTTAAAATATATATTTATTAAATATAAATTAATATATTTGTATTTTTAATAATTAGTAATTCAATTTTGCTAAAATTTAAAATATATATTTATTAAATATAAATTAATATATTTATATAGTAGAAATTTATAAAATTATATATGTATAAAAAATATTAAAAAAATTTTTTTAAAAATTCTAAAATTTTATTAAAAATAATAATTAATAAATTTTATAATTAAAAAAAGTTTTTTTTAATATATTTATATTTTTGTATTAGTATTATAGTAATAATAATAGTTTTATAAATTCAAAAAAAATTCTGAATTTGAAAAATAATTAAAAATATTAAAAATCTCTAAAAATATTAAACTCTAAGAAATAACAAAAATAATTTATTAAATATTTATTTCATTACTATTTTTCATTATTTTTCATTAATTTTTATTATTTTCATTATTTTTATTACTTTTTATTATTAATTATTATCATTTTTTATCACTTTTTATTATATTTTATTACTTTTCATTATTTTTTATTATTTTTTTATTTTAATTATTCATTATTATTATTTATTACTTTTTATCATTTTTTATCACTTTTCATTATTTTTTATAAAATTTTCACTATTTTTCTTTAGTTTAATTATATTTCATTATTTTATTACTTTTTATTATTTATTATTTTTTATTATTTATTTTATTATTTGTTATTCTTTTTTATTTTTTTATTATTTATTATCAATTAGATAATTAATATTATTTGAAATTGTATTTTCAAAAAAATGTATAAATAGTGATATTATCTGAACCTTAATTCAATATATTATAACTGAAAATAAAAATTTCTCTTAACAAAAATCTTCTTTCAAATACTTCTTACATTTCATATTTTCTTTATATACTTCAAATCTTGTATATAA